GTGCAGGGTTCGGGGTTTAGGGTTTATGATTGTGGGTTTGTCGCGCATAGTTACCAAAGCTCCCTTGTAAGGAGCTCTGCAATGTTTTAAGGAACGTTGTGAGCGACTCCTTCCCGCACTCCTCCTTTTCCAACTGCTACTCCTCAGTCCTAGTTCCTAACTCCTTACTCATTACTCCTACCCGTCCTGCTGCTACCGTTACTCCTGCCATTTCTGCACCTGCACGGCTGGCTTAGAGGAGGTCACCGGTTGTCTTCGCATTTTCCGAAAGCCTGGGCTGCGGAGTCGCAGGAATTAGGCCCCTAAACCCTATGCCCTAAAGCCCAAAGCCTAAACCCTGACCCTAAACCCTAAACCCCAAACCCTAAGCCCTACACCCTTCTTAAGCATGGGGGGGGGCGGGGGGCCTCTCAGAGGCCTTGCAGTCAAGAGGTTCAGGGATCTTCATCTTGGGGCCTAAATAATTACAAATACTACGGCTGATGATGTAAATCCTGCATGGTCCATAATCAGGAATATACCCTAACTCCCCTAGTTTTTGATCCTTAAGGTAATGCAGGATTTATATCATCAACAGTATTTGGGGGGGCTCCTTATTGAAATTATTTATATCATCGGCCCCAGTACCTATTTTTAGTTGTTAAGGCCCCTATATTATCCGGATTGGCTTGCGCTTCTTGGGGAGAGAGGTTTTGAAGTCAGGAAGATTTTAAATTTCAATTTCGGCGCTGGGCGGTTCATGATTCAGGAGATCTTTGTTGTGTGGGCTTGTTTCTCCCGCTTGCGGCTTCCGGTGCCTACCTTCGGAGTACCCTCTAGTACATTAAATAGAGTGACTCGAATGATACCCTAATCCCTGAACCCTCAACGCTAAAACCCTAAACCCTAAACCCTAAACCCTAAACCCTAAACCCTAAACCCTAAACCCTAAACCCTAAACCCTAAACCCTCAAACCCTAAACCCCCAAGCCTGAACCGTGAATCCTGAACCTTAAACCCCAACGCATCCGAGACATCCCCTGTCCCGAGCAATGGAGTCAAAACCTCTCCGGCGCCGCATCCTCGAAGCCCAGAGCCCAAAAGCAACTCCCGTTCCATCCTTAGTATAGGGCTCGGAACATTGACCACTGCTATTCCTCGGGGTTCTTGGATAGTTTAACTAGAACATACCCCCCCATTGTTATCTATTTGAGTACACGGTTTTCGGGCTTTGGCACTATGAAGGCTGTTGATTTCATGCTTGCTGCACCACATCAAGTGGTTCATCGCCGCAAGCATCAGCACACGCATAATCGCAAGAATTGGAATATCATCATTCCGGTCCCCGCATGAGCGTATTTATGTACATATATATATATATAAGTATGCCGTATGCATTATCAAGCTTATGTCTTGGGTTCTTTGGGAGACAAGGCCGCTTTGCACCCTTCGCAGCGCCGGGCTCGAGGATCCCTCACAAATGTGAGAGTTTGTCCAAAGCGACGCCATGGCCGCAGTGTCCGTGTATAACGATTTGCAAGCTCCTCTCGAAGTTAAACTTCAGAGTGGGGGGTGGCAGGTCGTTTACCCCAACATGTCCTGCGATGTCGAACGGTCCGGGGAGGCATCGGACTCCTTGGTGGAAGTTCGATTGCGAGAAAGCCAGGAGGTGAAGGGCGGCTGCCATGCTGGGGGAGGCTCCTCATTGCGGGCCTCTGTGGACTTCGGAGCCTTTTCCCAACAGTGCAAAGGCCGGGACCGAGCCGAGGCCCGGGAGCTGGCCCGTGAAGGCAAGCGACGCAAGGAGGCACAGGAACGGACGGAGGCGATGATCCAGGAGGCCACCGCCAGGAGACGGAACAAAGAGGGACTTAAGGGGTTACTGAGTATGGGGATTCGGTTCGGACTCCCGTCAGTCCTCCTTGTTGTGTGCTCTGGCATCTCACCCGAGAGCGCTGTTGCAGCCGCACTGCTGGCCAGTGCCACCGTGCCACTGTGCTGCTGCATCAGCCTCTTTTCGATGTTCGGATTTCTTGATAAAGAGACCTCCCAGTTCTTCTTTGGGGAGTATGAGAGCGTCTTCCGTGTTGGTGTCCGGCTATTGGGCCTCCTCGTTTTGTCCTCGTTCGCAGCCATGACGGCCCGGCACATCCTGCAAGGCTACTGGTGGAGCGCGTTTATCGTGTGGCCTGGGGCCGTTTGCAGTGGCAGCATGTGGCTCTGTGCTGCGTCAATCGACGTAGAAAGTTTTGTCGAGAACACAAAAGAACGAGACCGCAAGTCAGCCGAAGCCGAAGTCAGCAACCGTACCATCCGGTTTGAAGGCAGTGTCATCCGTGAACGGGGCCGGCCGTGCGTGGCGAGCTGGCCTGGAAAGTATGAGGGCGCGTGGGAAACCCTCGTATCGCAAGGCCGGAACGGCCAGGTCAGCGCAGCCGTCGTCTTCCTCCCTCAAGGCACGGACGACTACGGCAAGTGCGACAGCATCCCACTGGCTGAAGGCTTGCCCGGCACCTGCTGGTGCACGCCGCTCTACGGTGAACAGAAGCCGTGGGGATGCAGATGGTTTACAAAATGGAGGGAGAACATCGAAACGGCAGTGGCATCCGAGGCAGAGCTGGAAGTTTATTACTTCCAGAATCAGGTCGGCCAAGGCAAGGTGAAGAGCTTCGAGACGGCAGGCGACGACAACCTCCAGAGGGAAGAGTCAAACAAGAAACAAAAAGAATTCGAGGAGTCTCCCGAGTTCAAGCAGGCGCTGGACGCGGGTCTCGGCAACCTCTCGAATGAGCCGCGTGGCGACGGGTCCTCCCAGTACAGCCGTGAAGCCCGGCGGCTGTTTCTCGCTTCCCTCTCGGAGACAGAGCGTCAATTTCTTGCAGCCTCAGAGGGGCTCGGCAACTCCCAGAAAGCAGAGGTCGCCTGGCTGGAAAAGAAGGGCTACGAGTACTGGGAGGTGGACGTCTCCACGTGGCTTCCGGGAGAGGGAGTTGAGAGATGCGTCCCAGCATCTGCCAAGCAACAACCGCCATTGTGCAGCCGGCAGGACGACTTTTCACCAGTCTCAGTTTCGATCGCCCAAGAGTAGAGAATACAGCTCTCAAAAAGACTTGCATCTTGCAGCGCTCAGGTCATTGCAATCTACAAGCAGTACCCATAATAGTGACACGGAGTAAAGCTATATTCAGTCGGCCTTCAATCGCGTGGAACAACAGCGGAAGCCACGTAATTCTGGCAGGTCTACTTCCAGTAGTGACGGGTTGCTCGCCATGCATGTTATTGTCATTACAACTGCTACCACTGCTGCTCCTCTTCTGCTGCTCCTATTTCTACTTAATTACAATTCCGACGACGAGGATTTTCCACCACGAACGACAAGATTGCTAATAAGAAGAACAATAGCAACGGTATTGGTAACATGGCGAAAAAGAAAACTACTACTATACTACTACTACTACTACTACTACTACTACTACTACTGCTACTACTGCTACTACTACTACTACTACTACTACTACTACCACTACTCCTACTACTGCCACTAGTCCTACTACTACTACTACTACTACTACTACTACTACTACTACTACGACCACTACTACTACTGCTACTACTATTACTACTACTACTACTACTACTGCTACTACTACTACTACTACTACTACTACTGCTACTACTACTACTACTACTACTACTTCTAATATTACTATTGCTACTATAAGTACTACTACTA